ACTGAGCACTGAGGGAGAGGTGATATGAAGAGGCGAGATGGGTACTATCACTGGAGAGAATTATATAAACGCAGTTCAAGAGACTTAAGGAGTCAGCATGAATAGGCGATGTGATGCAACACGGTCTCCGGGGAAGAGATGTGCAAGGGGGAGCCCGATTTTCACGGCGTAGGATCGATGAATGGAGGGGATAAATAGCTGCAAGTAGCAAAAAGAAAGCTCTTGGAAGGAGGGAAAATGGTTTGAGTTTCTAGACTCGTCAATTGTGAAGGATCCATACACTAATCCACATCCAACTATTCTCGTTCACAACTGTATCCTGCTTTCTCCAAACATTTCTACATTATTTCAAAGCATGAATAAACCTAACACAGGCAGACCAACCAACTAAATAAAGCTGGTTGAAAGGTACTCACTCAAATGATTGAAATTAGCAAAAAACCAGTAGTCCATTGAGCACGCCTTCCAGTAGAAGACCTTTGCATGACCTCTTCTTTCTTTCCCATCCTCTCCAAGACCTTGGCAACCTCCACGTCCCTCTCAGAGTCGAAGTACACAAAGTCGGTGTCTAATTAATATGCCTTCCGTGTCATTGAGTCCACCATGAGTAATGTCGCGCGAGAAATAGTCGAAGGAATCATCCGGATATGCCAGCTTACATGCGGACTCCTGGCCGTAGTAGCAACGACCTGTTGGCAGAACTGAATTAGCATCAAATGAATGCACATTTATTTAGAGAAGTTTGCACCCAAAATTTGAAGATACAGTAACACTCTTATAAAATACTGGAGAACTCAGCATAATAAGGTTAAAAGTCTACTTAATTAGGAGTTTAGGACTTACCCATGCGATAAGGTTGGGGCAGAGGGCAGCATACGGAGTGCTTTGACTGATCTTGATATGCCCACCAAAACTCGGCAAAGAAAAGCGTGTTCTTGGACGTCGATTTGGTAGCCGCCATGAAATTGACGTGGTAGCATTGATCCTGGTGACCGGTTAATGTTATGGCTACACCGCATATAAAATCCAGATCATATTTTGGTTCTGAAGGACAGCGATGCGCGTATTCCAGCAGTAGCTGTTCAATCCTGCCGCGAATGAAGCTCTGCTGGTGAGCATAGGTCTCCCTTTTCCTCGTGAGAATGCTCACTGCCGTCTGGCAGAGTCTGGGAGCCGGCAGGATCATCGCTGTCTGGGTTTCCTCTTTGAGGATGTTGTATATCTGGGTCAAAGACTCATAAGAGAGCGCAGTATTGTTGGCCGTGGCACTCATCATCAAGGACCGGATCTGGTCTAGCTTCGTCGGCGCCAAGGATGCAAGAAATGTTGCCCAAGCGGACGCTTGCGGGTGACAGGCGGCAGCGGCGGCGCTGGGAAAAGGGTTGGGAGAGTTGCGATGTAGATGTGGCTGTAACATGGTGGCCAAGTCGCACTGCGTGTAGCAGAGGTACTTCAGGATCTCGTGCAACGGTAGCTGCTGTCCGGAGGTGGCGCGGAGGAGAGCTATGAGGCCGTGCAGGGAGCAAGTGATCACCCGGAGCATGGTGAGGGTGTCGACGATGTCATGCGCCTGCGGCCCGCGGTCAGCCATGGGGAGCGGGAAATTGGCGTCATACCAGACGGCGCTGAGGATGATGTTGGAGACAGGGTCCATGGGGCCGTAGCAGTGGCCGGAGAGGAGGACGCCGCGGACATGGTAGCGCGCGGCGTAGCTTGGCAGCATGGCGAGCGCCCTGAGGTAGAAGCCATGGATGGTGCCCAGGAGGGACATCTCCAGAGACAGTACGTACGGGCATTGTCGGGCGTCGTCCACGTCAAGAGACCGCCGCCGTGTCGTAGGATGGGGGAGCGACACGAGGCTGTCCGGCGAAGGGTGCTGCATGCGCATCGCCGCGAGCCTGAGAGACTGCCGCGTCCTTCCGGAGCGAGGATCCGGCGGCGCAGGGCGGGCAACGTAGAGCTCGTGCTCGACGAGCTGGACCGCCATGGCGAGGTCGGCACGCGCCCAGACAAGGTACCGCCCGGCTTGCTCCTCGCTGAGCAGCCCGAAGTAGGCCCGCATGAACTCGAGGAGGCACTCGCTGGACCTGCACGCGACGCCGTGCCATGCATGCTTGCTCGCGTTTCGGCGGCCCGACCGCATCCTGAGTCCCGGACCGGATGATGCCGCCGGGCTAGGGTTTGCGTTGAACTCGAAGCCGTGTGGGAGGAGGGAGAGGATGTTGAGGACGATGTTGGTAACAGGGTCGAGGAGGCCGAAGCAGAAGCCGCCGCGGTCGGCGAGCTGGGCCAGGTCGACACCGTCCGGCATGTCCTCGACGGGCAGCCGCCGGAACGCCTCCTCGTAGTGGCCGACGAGGATGACGCGGAGGGCCTCGAGCGTGGCGGCCGAG